TAGGCACCGTGCAGGCCCCCTGGGCCCGCAGTCGCGCTGTTGGGGACACGCAGGTGACGGCGAGGAAGGCGGCGTGACCCCCACCGCGGGCAGGCGGGGGCCGGAGAGAGCAGTGGGACGTGCTTCAGGTGTTTGGGGAAGTGACGGTGAGTCAGGTGCGGCCCCGCCATCCAGAAATGGACCCGGAGAGGCCGGGGAGGCGAGGCAAGCTCACCGGTCACCGAAATTAAGGCGTGTCGGAGTGTGGGTCGTTCGGGCCCGGGACTCGGTTTCCCTCCTCTGGTGACTGACATTTCCACCTGCGGGCCACACCCCTCCCCGGAGCTCAGGATCCCTCTGTCCAGCTGCCTAATAGACGTGTCCCTTTGGCTTCACGGAGGCCCCTGGTCCTCCACTAATTAAACTCCTGCTCTCCTGACCTCCTTCCCAAATTCCAAACTTGACTCCTTTCGGTTGCTCCCTGTTGCTGTAGATGTCACCATTATCTGTTCAGTTGCCATCGAGGGAAATCTGGGCGTGTTAAGCTCTTCCTGTCCGTCATATCCCCAATCCAGCCTGTTACTCAGTGCCCCCAACTCTACCTCTGGAGGCAAATACCTCCTGCACCCCAGCCCCGCTCCTGCAGGTGTAAGCCAGCCATCGGGTGTCCTCTGGACTCCTGGGTTGTAAATCTAAATTCCTGAAGGGATCTGCCCACTCTGCTCCCCTCCAACCCCCAGTCTATGCTGAGTGGCCCCGACAGGATTCCTCTGGGGTTCACATCAGTCCTCTTCCCAGCCCTGCACAGGCTGATCCCTGCTCTCGCCTCAACCTCATCCCTCCCGTTTCCCTTGATGGCGCTGCCACCTGAGGCCTTCCAGCCCCTCTTTGCTTCCAGGTGTCTTGCAGTTGTGTTAGTTAATGCCCGTTCACTTGTCACGTCCCCAGGGAAATGTTATCTGAGGCCTGTGAGCCAGTCAGAGCTCCTCTCTGTTACATGCTTCTCATTGCTCTTCTTGCCTTTGTCACATCCGAGATTTTGCACGTAGCCCGATGCTTTGATTAATATCCGAGTCACCACAAGAGAGTCAGTGTGAACTGTGGGGCAGTGCATAGCATACGGTATTCAGCAGGTAGTTCTGGATGGTAAATGAATGATGACTTCTGGGGGAGAATCCCCAGAAGAAAGGGCAGCTTTGGG